AACTACAGTATTCAGAATAACAGATCAGATTCCGCAGACTTTTTGCATGGCCTTTGAATGGAAGAAATGTAGCAGTAGCTGAAATTGGTACTAGAAGACTTGAATCTCCTTAAGTGATGTATTTTCTTCATTCTAACCCTAAAGCAGAAGAGTTTAGGTGATGTGATATATCGTGTCACTCTGAATGTGAATTTTAAAAAATTACCCAATTTAAAACTCTATTTTTCTCCATTTTACATTGGATGTCTAAGGTTGGATATTAAGCCAAAACATTACTGATGCTTAGTATTAACAGAGAAGTTGTCTTTTCATTTGATATCTTATATAGATCTTATCTGGATCACTTTGTTGTCACCTGGAGAAATCTTCAGTGCTAGGAAGCATCTGTTCTCAAGTCAAATGGATAATATGACTCTTTAGGTGTGTCAAGTTAAGACACTCTTTGGTCTGTGATCTGTCTTTACTTGAGTGAAGTATTCCAAGGTAGCTGTTGCTCCAAGACTGGCTGGGCTCCACCCTGCTTGTGAGAGATGGTGAGTGGCTGCCTTTGCATCAGTTGTTTCTTATCCTCTTTCCTTCACTTATTAAACTGTTTTTATTTCCACCCAAGAGTTTTCTTGATTTTGCTCTTTGTATTCTCTCACCTGTACTACTGCTGAGTGAGCAGTTGGGTGGATGCTTAGCTGCTGTCTGGAGTCAACCCACCACACTTTATTATAGTTATGCTGAGGTATCTCTTTAATTTATTTCTAAGTCAGATAAGAGCAACAAATCCATAGACTGCAGGCTAGACTTTGCCCTATGATCAATGTTCTTTTGGATTTATATATAGCAGTCTAAATGTTCAATCCCTAATTTCCTCTGCTTGAGACACTATGACACTTGTATTCATGGTGGAGTTCAGGTATCAGGCCTGCCTGAGTATTACTGCTAGATTCAAAGTCTTGCTTGCAAGGTCAACTGACAGAAGACCCCAACCAATCTTACATCCATAGAATCATTTAGGTTGGAAAAGATCTTTAAGATCGAGTCCAACTGTAAACCTAACACTGCCAAGTCCACCACTAAATCACGTCCCTAAGTCTTTTAAATATCTCCAGGGACAATGACTGAATCACCGTTCCAATGTTTGACAAACCTTTCAGTGAAGAAATTTTTCCTAATATCCAGTTTAAACCTTTCCTGATGCAACTTGAGGCCATTTCCTCTTGTCTAATCACTTGTTACTTGGGAGAAGAAACCACCAACCTTACTACAACCTCCTTTCAGGTCTCCCCTGGGCCTCCTTTTCTCCAGGCTAAACAACTCCAGTTCCCTCAACTGCTCCTCATAAGACTTGTGCTCTAGACCCTTCACCAGCTTCGTAGCCCTTCTTTGGACACGCTCCAGCACCTCAATGTCTGTCTTGGAGTGAGGGGCCCAAAACTGAACACAGCATTTGATGTGTGGCCTCACAAGTGCTGAGTACAGGGGCACAATTCCTTCCCTAGTCCTGCTGGCCACACTATTTGATACAAGCCAGGATGCTATTGGTCTTTTTGGCCACTTGGGCGCACTGCTGATGTGCATAAATAAGTGTTCAGGGAAAGTGTATAAACATTAGGTCATTGTTAGTGGGCTTTTTCAAATACTTCATAGATGCTGCTGCTGCACACCTACAAGCTTCCCTCCTTTGATGTATTGTCTACAAATGCTTTCCAAAATAAAAATAGAAGTGAGAAGCAAGCTTCTAGCTGTAGGTAAATAACTGAAGTGTCATAGTGGTATAAGATGATAATTACATTCACTGGAGAGAATTGGGCACTTCTCTCTTTGGACACTAAGAGCAGCAGTTCAGCCCTTAGGTGCTGCCAGAGAGCATTTTAGCCTGTTTCTTTTCATTAACTAGTGACAGTGACTCAGCTGCAATTAAACTCATACTCAGTACTTATCTCTGTCCTCCCATGTCTTTGTAGGAAAGGCCCACAGCTGTAATAAAAAAAATAAAAAAAAAAAAAAAAAAAAAAAGAGCAGTAAAAATGAGTGTTAGTAAAGAACAAGCACTGAAGATGTCTTGAGGTCTTCTCTTCTTTTGCTTTAGGGGCACAATAAATTCCATTGTCTGGAGACTGTTAGCCCACATGCCCAGTCACACACTTGACTGATGGTGTAGATCCTAATTCAGAGTCTCTGGTGTGGGACTGCCCTGTCTCCTATGAGTTAGTGATAAATAGGTGTTATCTTCTGGTCTGAGCTGAAAATGCAGGTGAATCTTGGGTGCTGTGACGTAGCGTTCCCTCAGTAGTGAATGGGGTGATTCCAGTAGTGCTGTTCGAGAGGAAGGTGGTCTTGAGTAATTCAGTCCTTGGGAGCTGTCTCCTCAGCAGTAACACAAAGCAGCTTGTGCATTTGTTGCCATCGTCACTTGTATCAACTCAGCTTGCGTTGAAGTACTTACAAAATAATCTGAGAAAATTGATGCAGCTAACTTGTAAATAAGGCCTAAATTGGCAATGTGAGTGTGAATTTTTTTCTGGATGTACTGAATCATATATTGGAACAAAACTTTAATAGGGTATGAACGCAATTGTGCAACTTACGTGCAACAGACAATATTAGTCATTCTTGTTCTTCATCTTACCCCAATGCTTTAAACAGATGCTCTGAAGATTGCATGAAGACTTAATTTCTTATGGATTTCAATCAGTGTCACTTCAGGTTTGGTCAGATCTAGGTCAAAAAGGGATTATGGGTGGCCCAGGTTTGAGATATTTTATTTGGGTCATGTAAATGAAGTCTGATATTCAGAGTTGGTGTCCAACAGCTTTTATTTAGAGGATTATGAAGAAGAAAATCATTAGTATTTTCAGAAATAAAGTTGTACCCTGTGGCTGCATTGGTGTATCAAGAGGTCTCTTTAGCTCTCTATCACAGCACCTTTCTATCAGAAGTTAGCAGTCTTGCAAGGCTTCTGCGCCAGACTCTGAGGGCTTTTCCCCCTGTGTCTTATATTAGTTGTCAAATAGCTGTAGAAACCCTGTTGAGAATTTGATAATTGGTGATATCTCCAGTCTCAAATTGCTGTGAGAGGACAGTGATTCTGAGTCATGTCAAAATTGATCTGGGATCAATGGGAGTCTCCAGCTCTTGCAGCTGCCTCTCGAGAGGCTGCTGAGCCTGTGCTGGTGCTGCTCTGCCACCCTGGGCACCTATGCTGCAAGTTGTGTGGCCCAGTTTAAGTGTCGGTGTGACTCCAGACATCATATTGCCATGCAACTAGTACTGCTGAAAGCTTCTGTTGTTACAAGGGTAGGTATTGATGAAATACTATCTTGTCTTCTGGCCTGCGGCTTTCTGACTTCTGATTTACTTTCACCACTGTTCATGATGCACAATATCATGTTATCAAGTAAATTCCTAAGGTTTCTGGGCTACGTCTGCTTTTGCTGTATTTCTTCTTTCTCATGTTGTGCAGATCAAGCATGTATAGTATAGCACAGTAGCTGCTTGAGCAGTAAATATTGCTTAATTTAGTATATGAAATCCACCAAAGACCCAAGTGTGGGGTGCATAGGGAGCATGGCATATTATCTAACTGGATGGGTAAATTCTTGAAGAGCTGGTGAGAATCCACTGTCATCAAACTGAGCTATAAAATGACTTTAAGACTTTAAGCTAGGTGATATGATAGTTGTCATGTTCGGCCTCTTGTAACAGCATGAGCAGAATCTCTTGTTTCAAATCAGGGAGCATTACTTTAAAAGCACTATCATATAATCAAAGTGAAATAAATCTCTATTGTAATTAAACTGCTTCACAAAATAAAAAAACCTAACAAAAACCCTGTAGCTGGGAACTCATCACACCTTTTTGCATGAATGACAGGAAAACCTAAAGCAGGAACTGTTATATATTCAATGTCTGAGTCTATGAAAGACCAGACTAATTATAATGATCATGTGAAATTTTACCTAAGGCAGCTCGCCTCTACAGGACAGTTTGAATAGTCAGATGCTTTCATTAGAAATGGTTGAAAGTCAGATTTCTTTTTTTCATAAGAAGTCCTGCTGCTTCAAACAGGGGTTTTCTGTCTGACTTAGAAACGTGGGAATTCTAAAAAATAAAATGTTTTTTAAAAAAAAAGTTAACTACAGTTTCTCACTATTATATAACAGATTGTTTTAGTGATTTTAAAAATGTTCAATGCAATAGCTGGCTTCTGACATGTTTTAGTAATAGTGTTAGGTGCTTTTGTTATTATGTATTGAGTGCTATTACAGAAAAAAAAAAGTGAAATTATTCTAAAATGAAAAAGACATCAAACTTGATGATTTTGACATGAACGCTTAAACATCTTGGAAAAAAAAATCATGTGTAGCTATTTGTGTTAAAGTTTATATGAGTTTCTAACATAATTGAAAGCAGGGCTTTCACTAAAAAACGTTTCATTAACAAGCTCCTGCTGGCTATGCTTATCCTGTAACATCCTTTATGTAACAAGAAATAAGAGAGAAGAAAAGCTACAAGCTGTTTTCTTTAGCTATTTACTGCTGCCCGTGAGAGCCAGCCTCCACTTTGTGGCTGTAATTTGTGGCAAACTTGGTGAAAACCCTTGCAATTGTGCGTCTGGCTGGAGGAGCTGCTGTTGGGATATTCAGATCACTCAGTGCTGGTGAAGTGCAGGTAAGGATTTTAGAACTAGAGAAAATAATAGTAGATACCAGTAGTTGCAATGCTTTGTTAGGTCTTCTCTAGTTTGTGAGGGTTGCAACTGCCCCAGGATATCCCTCTGTGTGTGGTTATTCAGACCTTACGGTAGTGAATAACTATTTTATTTTGGGATTAGCCTATGATAAAATGTTTGACCCATCTCCTCCTTTTGCCCCTAAATTACTGTGGTTTTAAAAAAAAAAAAAAATCTTCATGTGGCACAGAACAAGTGCATAATTTGTGCTTTTGAAATCAGTGGGAGGTGGAGCTATGAGTCAATCTATACAGCTCTTCTTTCCTGCCTCTGTTGTAAAATAGTGTGGTCCAGGAGCACCTGCCAGCTGCGCGACATACACACTGGACCATTATAGTGTTGCATTTTATGAAACAGAGATACTAATGGGATCATCAGCTTATTCACCTTTGGTAAGAGAAAATCAGCACTGGGGCAGGAGGATCTGTTTGACTGTCTTGGCTGAGTTTAATCAAAAGCAAGTACTTGGGTATTTTCAACCTTAAATGTTAAACAGATCTGCAGTGTGCAGATTTATTAGTAAGAGCAGTGGATAGATGGTTTCGGTGAGATGGAGATGTAATGGTAGGACTCCCTGCTATTAGGGCAAATCTGAGTAGCAACTGAAAACTAGGAATTGTTGGCTGCTTGCTTTAATCACTGTCCCCTCTCTCGGGTCCTTGTCTCCAGGATCGGTTCATCCAAGCAAACCCAGACAGGAAGATTGGAATCAGGAGGAGGAATCGTGAGAGACTGCACAGCCCTGAAGATGAGGTACTGTACGGAGGGCAGCTTCTGGGTTGCAGGGAGAGGGGCTGTGGGGTCTGAACAGTGGCAGTGGACATGCTATCTGCAGTCTTCCATCAGCCTTTCCCCTCTCTCCTTCAGCTTAGCTGTTACTATGAGAGGTGATACTTTTTTAACAGTTAGTTAAGGGAATATTTGTTTCTATTGTGAGTGTGCTCTCTAGAGTGGAAAGCATTCACTATGACTTAGGGGTTGGGAAGGTGTGGAAGGTGATGAACTTGTGGTTTAGATGCTGGGCAAGGAACCGGGAGAGCTGGATTTTAGTCTTGATTTTACTGTGACATCACTATATGACAGCCATCGTACCTCATAACACCCAAGGCTCAGTCTTCTAATGGTTTATGGAGGCAGATCAGCAGATAAGATGGATTATTCAGTGTCTGCCACTTAAAATAACTGAATGCTAATTTTTATGAAACTGGTGAAAGGTGTTGGAGGGTGCTGAATATGGTACATACTGGATATGTAACCAATTATTCCTTTTTCTGAGTAATGTCTGGTTGAAATTATATTAACTATAACTTGAAAAAAATATTCTATGATGTGTGTGTTTTCCCCCTGAGTTTCCTGAATCTTCTCCCTAGCTGTATTCAGTGAAGAAGCGTGAGGCGCTCTGCTAGATCTGGGAGAGCAGCAAACTCACTATCTGCTGTCACTATGGAATAGTATTTGGTTTTGTGTTTGCATATTTTCTTAGTATTTCAGCCATCTCATGAATACATTTTCTCCAAAATCCTGAATAAGGATGGTACTATAGCTGAGGATGAAAAATTAATCCTCTGTGTTTGGGACAAAAAGTTGAGCTTTTGGCAGTTTGGATCATCTACTCCTGTCGTTCTCTCTATCTCCAGAAACATTGCTGCCAAAATTTCTGCTGAGGCTGATGGGTTTCTTCCAAACCTACTGCCTTTGTTCAAATGGCATGTTCTGAGAGAAAACCACTGGGTTGAGAATTTTTCCAGTGGGCTGTAAATACCACTAACCTGGTGACTTACTGCTTTTTAGATGGTTAATCTGCTCCTGTCAGGACACTGGCATATCAAAGTAAGAGGTACACAAGGAGGATCTAAGGAGACAGTTTCTCAGAAATCATGATGCTTTCAAGATTTAATTGCTCCTTTCGGATTTAATTAATGGAGCTACTGTTTCTGTATGTAAATAATTTATTGTGCAGAAGTCCTGAATAAGACAAGGCATTCTGAATCACCTATTTATGCTTTTTATGTTGTTGTTTTGCTTTATATGCATTCATATGCAGTTATAATTTTTATTCTTGCTTCTTTGTGTTTAATTGCATAATCTAACACACTGACAATTTTACTGTCATCCTATCAAATCTGTAATTCTGTTTGTGTTTGCAACTTTCTATTTTCTTAAATTGTTTAAAGATTTTTGTGATTCATGCCTTATTCAGTTCTGGCTTTTCCCCAGCTCCTGGTTTATGTACGTATATCAGTTCTGCATGTTGTGGTAATGTGTTTTCATTTTGATTAATGTAGACTCTATCTATGGATGGCAGGTTATCTTGGTGTCACACAGAGCCAAAAAAAAAGAGAATGAATACAGCTTCTTCTGCCTTAGATCATGTCAAATTTGCACTGAAATGCTAGAGCTATGTGTGAAATGGAAGAATGCTTACCCCAAGCCTCTGGTTTCAGCCTTCCTCCTGCTGGTGTAACTGAAAAGCTCTGGAGTCCCATACTGGGGTGTTCACTTCTTCCTCCCCTCTTTCAGTTGTTTATTTCCTTTTAAGAGCGAGGTATTTCAGTATGGTGAAGGATGTTACGGTGTTATGTATCGCCCAGCCAGGTTGGCCAGTAGCAGTGATATCTGGGCCAGGGCATTATAAATGGAGGGTATTTCTCCTGCAGTAAAAATATGTGGCAGATGGGCTGCAGTCCCTGCTAGAGGAGGGAGGGCATCCCATGGTCCCTGAGCTGGCACACTGGGAAGTGCTGTGCTGTAACCTGCTGCACTCAGCCTGAAATGTGAGGAGTAAATCTTGCAGCTGGATTTTTACAGGGGCAGTTATGTAGGGACTTTCTGTGTGAAAAATATCTTGTGATATTTCTTACTATTCCTTGCATTAAGCAACCTCCAAAACCTAAGGCTTTAAAAAACTTAATCTCAAACATTACTGGTTAGAAAACATAAATGGAATCTGACATTATATGGTGTCAAATCACAAGAAAGAATCTATTCTCAGAAATCGTTTCAAATAATTAAAATTAAAACATATTCACAGCATTAATGTGAGAATGGTTCTTTGCTTATGCTATAGGATAGGCTGTGTTAGTCATATCTGAGTTATTTGCTAATAATTAAGGTATCTTTCTCATTGTTTTGCAGCCAGAAGTGCCTCAGTTTTGCTGGCTGATTGTAAAAATTATAAGCATGAGAAATCTCCGCAAAGCAGATCTGTGTAAGTATCACTGATGGCATGATTATAGGTTAGCAAGAAAATCACTGTCACCTGAATTTGATGCTCTTGCACACCTGTTGCTTAGATTACAGTTATGTCTCAGGTTGCTTCTTGACTGAAGAAATTGTATCTGTTTTCATTTTTGTTTAGGCTCAAAATAATTTAGGAAACAGTTAACAACAGAAATGAAATAGAACAGAAATTCTGTGTTGGGGAAAAAAAGTTATCCTTCCCTTCACCAGCTGCTTTGTGATATTTCCCTTTCACCTAACTTTTCAGTGCTCCTTTATCCACAGGTTGCTGGTTTCCCTTCTGAAAGGGACACCTTTGTGAAAGATAAAGGAAAAATCAGTAGTTGTGTTGGGGGCTGCTGTGTTTGTGTCTTCACTACTCTATCACTGTGGATGACTTGTGCATTACAATTAGAACCAGGTCAGAAAAATCCCCAAAACTAAATTCTTAATTTTTTGGAAAAAGTGAAGTTTCAGGAAGTGAAGTCATATATGAATTTGCTCGAAGCCTGGCAAATATTTGAAAACAGAAGTAAAAAATCAGAAGAGCCAGAATGCTTTATTTCAGTACTGTTGAAACCAAATATTTTGGCTTTTGTTATCAAATAGAATTAGTGGTTTAAAGTTGACTTTTTTTTTGGAATTGACATAAATGCAAATAGAAAAGTTAAATAACTCTAATGGTTTCCTTCTGTCTAATGAAATATTCCCTGACTGGGCAAAAGAAATAATAAAAAAGTACTGCTGTACTAGTTACGCATTCTTTTGTTAACACAGTGAGCCAAACTGATTGCTATGTCAAGCTGTGGCTGCCAACAGCTTCATGTCAAGAAGCCCGGACAAGAACTGTACACAACTGCAGAAACCCTGTCTGGAATGAAACTTTCCAGTTTATGATACAAAGTGAAGTAAAGGTAGGATCTGCACCTGTGGTAGTGAGCAGATGCTTTGTAAAGCGTTACCTGCTGCTGCAGACTCTATGTGAGCCTTGACATCAGTTATGCTGAGGAATAGGATGGTAACAGAAAGATACAGAAAGCATCAGAGACAGCATGAGACATGCTGTTTCCTACCAGCAAGTAAATATTGCAAGCCTTGCTATGGAGGTTTTATAAACTCTTTAGAGGTTTAGTTATATTTTCTTCTATGCAACTATGAAGGCATTTTTGCTGTTTTACCAGGAGCTTGTAATACCTGCTTTATAAAGTAAGTGATGCTGTTTGTGAATTATAAGAGGTACCATAACTTAATGCCACTTTCTAAAAATTTTAAAATATCTTTTAATACTCAACTATTTCATTGCTAAACAGGCATATTTTCAAAAGCCTATTAGGCTGTAAGAAAGCAAACCATATGTCTGACTTAGACTTGCAATAGAACCATGACTATTCCATGCTTTGAGTGTAAACTCATAGTGTTATGGATCATCTGGGATAAAGTTGAATGCTTCTTTCTGTCCCAGAGCAGTTGTAAAAAAAGTGTTTAAGATAATGTCTATAGAGTTAGCAGAAATAGATTATCAGAGTGTGAGCAATACAAGGTCTAGAGACAGGGTCAGCTTCCTGTGGCTTAATAGTGTTGCATCTTCTTATGCTGCTATGGGTAGTCTGAGCACTGAGGGATTGCAAGGGGAATCACTACAGTTTACATCTTGTTAAAGAGTTTGTTAATGTGCTTTATTTTCCATTGTTTGCTTTCTATTATTACTTTCTGCTGATATGCCAAAACTTCTCGAGGTAGTAGTTTTGAATCTGGAAAGAATCTGATGAACAGCAAGTGTAATCTCTATTCTGTCCAGTGCATATTACCATCATGCACGTCACTTATGCTGCCTTTCTTTTGAGCTCTTTGCTCATAGCCAAATCTGATGATTTACTTCTTCTAGGATTCATCCCTGACTTTGCAGTTTGAGCCACAGGGACTCTGAACTGAGCTCCACACTGTGCAGGAGTCTGTCAACATTGAACAATGCGAGGGCTGCATGCTGCTGACTCTTGACAGACCTTCCTTTTGGGCTCAGTAGTCCCAGAATACAGCATTTACATCCTTCTCTGGCTATTTCCTCAGAACATCCTGGAGCTGACAGTCTGCGATGAGGATACTTTTACACCAGATGACAAGCTTCTGACTGTTCACTTTGATGTAGCTAAAATTCAGCCTGGGGAAAAAGTTCACCTGAATTTTGAGTTGAATCCAAAGGTGAGAAATTAAAAGATGAGTGAAATTAAATGGATAGATAAAATAATACTCTTGATCAGGATTTTGTCTCAAGTTACTATCTAATTAAACAGAGTTGTTCTCACACACAAAGACTTTGTTAAAAGGTCCTCAGTAAAGCAAAAAGTTAAATGCTCAGGGTTTAGGAGAGGTCAGAAACAGTCACTTCTCTGTTGTGATTGCAGTTAGATGCAAAACTGCTTTCTTATTCTGATTTTTTTTTTTTGAGATATCAAAAATGTCAGAAAAAAACAGAGAAAGCAGGAGTCGGTAGCTCACTAGGCGTACCTCCTCTTAGCTTCACTGGGGGTTTTGTTCTGTGCTTTCAGGCAAAATGATTATATATAAATTATTATATATTTTCATGAAAATATCTCAATTTTGTTCCTCCTTCTGATAAACAACTTTTATTCTTTTTTAAAATTCTCAGAAAGTCTGTTTATGATCGTTAGTTACAGGGTTACAGATTTCTTTTAGAGGGGCTGAACCGGCAGCTCAGGACGAGCTACTGAGATCTTCCTCAGTATTTTATTCTTCTCCTCAGTATTTTATTCTTCTATGTCAGGGTATGACCTAGGAGTTTTATTTGCTGCATGTCTCAAAGAATTTTGTGTTTTGTTGTATTAAAGAGAGGATTAAGAGTTTCTTATGAAATGTTTCATGGGTGCAGTTGCTGAGAGGACAGGTGGAGAAATCACACCCATCTTTTAAGAGCAAAATAAGTACTCAAATTACTTTTTGCAAAACATAACACCTTCTCTACTTGGAGGCTCTGTAGTAACGAGACTTGAGGGCTTTTTCACACTTCTGACAAGGGCTTGAATTTACAGTTCCTAAGAATTGTGTGTGCTCTGTCTATTTCTAAATCACTGTTTCAAGCTGTCCGAAAAACTCTCTTGCCTGTTTTTTATATTGCTATTGCTTTGGAGAGTGTTTATTAACTTTTCTGAAAAGTCCATCCTTACTAAAGATTTCGATATACTTGCTCCAGATGGCTACAGCCTTCCTTAGAAAAAGCCTTACATGACTGAGATAATTTCAGATGTGATTCAAGCCATGAGTTTGCTCTGAAGTGTGTGCAGCGTTGGCTTAACCCATTGGCTTGGCAGGATGGAAGTTGGGGAGATAAGACAACGTGAGCAGCACTTAAGGAATGTTTCGGTCAAGCCATCCTTAGTCAGATCACAACTCATACTCAGGTGCCCGTGAGGCATCACAGATTATGGTCTGTATGTGGATTTTTAAAACACTTACAGTTAATTTTTTTTTTTTTTAAAGTGACTTAGTAATGGAACATGCTGGGCAAGCTTAATAATAGGGAGTACTGCCACCTCTACCCATAATGATTTCTTTCCTCTATCAAGGATCTCAGAAGGAGGGCTGAGGAGGGGGGTGGGTAATGTCAGGGCATCAGGATTGCTTCCTGCTGTGCCTCTTGATCACTGTGTGGTCTAACACGTCTTTCCATTGCTTTGCTCTGGGTTTTTCACCCACAGAAATGTGAATGGGGCCTAATAGAAATACAATTTGTGTGAGTGTGTGTACAACAGCATAAGAAGGATGGGAACGTAAAGCAGGCACAATTAGGTAGATGTTACAAGCCAGGGTCTCCTGAACATTTTATGCTGTTCTTTGGACAAAGTTGGAACAGACTATCACTGAATTTGGATAGTACAGACTGGTCACAATCTGATGCTTGATAAAGTCTGTCTTGCATCTCTGTACGGTCACTACTTTGTAAAATCCATCCTCAGCCTTCTGTTACGTTGCAACCACCCTGATTCTCATGAAAGACAGACTTTGGGAGAAACAGGCAAGCAGAACCACCTGCTGCTGAGCTACATGCCACAGATACAGCTCTGAGAAGCCACCTGAGATGTCTCATTTACTGACATGAACTAGCAAATACAAAAATACTAACTTTTCTCCTTCTCTGTAGTGATGATTTTACCTTGGCAGCTACATTATCAGACTAGTTATGGTTTTCACAGTCTCTTCACAAAGTTAAAGTATGCTGTGCAGCCAGACAGAAGGGATATTTAGCAGTAAAGGTTAGTTCTGAATAAGAGTGAAAAATTTTGCCATCACTTGTCAGGAAGAGATTTATATCTTCCACTAATTAGTGTTTTCTCCTCTGTGGGTGATAGAGAAGATCTGTGATATATGTTTTTGTGGGTCATTTCCTGGATTGGCTGCGTCTCATACATACTGATCCAGGAAAAGGCTGCAGTGAAGTAATACAGTTATTCAGTTCCTCTTATGTTGTTGGTGTGTTACTCTTCTCTGTTGCTGTTCCCTGCTCTTACACTGTTCCCCCTTTCTCATCTTGATTTGGCCCTTGTAAGCTCTTTCCCTCATTCCCCTTCACAGCTACAGTCTTCTCTCTCTTCCTCCCTTCACACTTGCAATTTTCATTCTCCAAGTTGGTCTCTTCTCTCACCCTTTTTTAATGTTTAGTCATTATACTCTGCAAATTCCTTTGTTTTAACCCAGACATACTGACCATCTAGGTCCATTTATTCTCAAGGATGTTCTACATAATTCACCTGTTATGCCTCCCTTCCTCGGCACTGATTGACCCATGTCTCATCCCACTAATAAAAGAATAATGGGACCTTCACCCCCTCTTCCGTGATACTCTCCTTTTCCACTTGGGGGGACAGTTGGTTTGTAAACAGTAGGGTGTGGAGTGATATGAAATGAAAGGGTGGTCAAAGAAGGCTCCATCCATTTACATTATGATGCAGGGGGTGTGGGAATAGCAAAACCTTGCAAGGAAGAGGTATGCAAAAATCATCAGAGCTCTATCAAAGGAAAAAGTTTATTTGTTCATTTTCCTTGAATGAAAAATAAATCTTAATTTCAGAATCAGGAAGAACTAGAAGTGGAATTTCTACTGGAAAACATGTGAGTAAAGCCTAAATGTTACGGAATTTGTCATCAGAAAACTTTGCATTTTAGAGAGAGCGGTAATGCAGCATTGGAGAATTGGCTCCATGCGCCTGTGCTCAGATATTCCATCTTGGCATCTCCTCTGTGGTTGCTTTTCTCTCCTGAATCTGGTGAAATCTCTTCCTGAGCAACAGTCTCACTATTTATCGCTGAGGGTGGGTGTTTATTTTGTAATTCAGCCTAAGGAGAGATAATGCTGGTCAGGGGAGGTAAGAAAGAGGGAATGTCCCTAGGAACTATGGGACTGTGACCTGGCGGTGGACACGAGAGAGGTGAAAGATAGAAGTGCTGATGGCACTTGGCAGCTAGAAAAACTGAGCTCAGATAACTATTTGCATTTAAAAGATTACTTCTCATATTCTCACTCCTAAATAAACCTTTTCCTTTTTGCTTTTCAGTCCAGGTGTATCCGAGAACATCATTACTAATGGCGTACTAGTGGTAATTGTTTAATTTATTTTTATGTTTATGTTCTTATGGTACAGTAGAACTGGAGGATGTAGTTGGAAGAACTGTGCCTTTAGGTGTAGCCTTTACTGTTTTTCAGGTGAGACACAGGTGTGATTGTAAAGTTTTGAATTTGGTCATGCTTGTAGGGTGTTCTGTGTTGGGAGAGGCTTGGACCAGCACTCTGCCACAGTGCCAATGAGCTGCTCACTGATGAAATGGCAGTAAACCTGGGAAGGGAGTGAATCCAATGTCACTGCAGAGTTTATTACTGAATGTCTACCTTGGAGCTGAAGGCCCCTTTCACACCATGTCCAAAGTACTGTGTGATGCTCCTGTGCTGGTACTTCCTCCTATGCAACACTCTCTTGGGAAGTTTCAGGTTCATCCCAAAGGTATTACAGGCCCATCTGTCCAGTTGTTCTGCAGAATTGTAGGTATCCTTCAGCTCACTACTCTGTGGACAAGTTAAAGCATGGCCTAGATGAGGAGAAAAGATTCTTGTATTAACTGTTGGGGGTTGAATGGTATTTAAATGCCATGGGACAGATCACCTTAGCTCCCTTGACCACAGTACTGCTTGTATGATTTATACAAGAAAATCAGCCTGTCCGATTTCTTCATGTTCACAGGACATCATGGCCAAGCCTGGTGTTTCTACAGGACCCCTAGATCCTCAATGAGGATCCTGCACTGTTTCTGTGACGGGTGATTTTATTGCTTATTTCTTCTAGTCTCGTGAAGTTTCCTGTTTGGAAGTACATGTGAATGAAACAAAAACGAAGAGCCCTTACAAAAGTGAGGTTATTGATTTAAATATCTAAATATTTAAGTATTTAAATATTGTTGCTGCTTTTTGTGACATGGGAGGTGCAGCTGAATCTAGACAAATATTTGATCTCTTTTAGTCTCTGTATCGGGGCTTCTTGGGGATGGAGGTGTTTCTGGAATTATCTGCTTGCTGGAGATGGTGTGACTGTAGCTGAAGAGAAACTGTGGAGGTGGCTGGGAGATTCAGAAACATCACTGCAGTGTGATGGAATGGAAATACCAGTGATGAGAACAGAACGTAGAAGAGGAGACACACAACTATTGGGAGGGGAAAGACTATGGTGGAAACTCAGGGGGTGTGAATGCTGCTAGTGGCAATGCGCTGGTCTAACACATACTGTCCGTTGCTTGGCAGGGGAGAAGTTGCAATGCTGCATTGGCCTTCTGCTGCTTATTCAGTCTGGCCCTTACTCACACTGCTTATGGGGGAGGAAAAGTATTGTGGCCCAAAGTAATGCTCACTGCACTAAGGCTTAAACTTTACTTGGGGCATTTCTATTTGTTATTTTTCAGGGCTAGATGAAGTTAATGTTTTCCTGCGGTTTGCTTCTTTTTCTTAGGGAGAGATTTCACGTTCACAGTGAAAGGATCCTATGAAGAAACTCGGGATGTTTCCTTAGGTCCTTGCTGCAGATGGGGAAGCGGTGAAACCACTGTGTTCCACTATGTCAAACACAGTCAACCCAGACTGCACATGACACGGCCAAAGGAGCACTACTTCTGTGGTGTATGTATTGCTTGTGGATGGTGATAAGAGCTGAAGTAAATTTTGGGACAAGCAGAATGAATTAGCCTTTCTCTCATAGATTTGTACCTATGGATTGTAAATAATTTTCTCCTTGTTGTTATATATATATATATATATATATATAACATATATATGATATATAACATGTGTGTGGATACATGTATTTTCCTAATGTAGATGTCTGAGTGACTAGAGCATCAGTTGTGTTAACAGAAGGACACCTCAGAGAGTGAAGTGGGTTAGCAAGGTGAGTGACGCTGCAGTTGGCACAGGAGCTGGAAGCAAGCTAATCCTTCCAGTCTCAGTATTTTTAAACATCAGACTGTTTTGTGATGGCATTTGAAATGGTTTGATACTGCTGTAATGGGAACACTTAAAATCTCAAATTCAACAGCTAGACAATCATTTCTCATTGATTTCTGTTATGCATTTTAGCTCCTTGACCTAGATTTATATCCAATTTCCAAGTGATGTCAATGCAAGTTCAGTCTGAAGAGTATGCAGAGAATATACACTCAGCATTTTAGAATTTTTCAGTATGGATTGGTAGCTAGGCATTAAGTTTGCCTTAGCAGTTGCAAAATAGGTCATAGATAATAACTATAAACCATAACCATTTCTATTTAGGCCATGTAATATCCTATTAAGGTACTGGTTGAATGGTTTCATGACATGTCTAATCTTTAATTGAAATATTTATTGTTAATTTGGGAG